TTTCACTTCCCACCTTGGGTCAGGTTCAGCACACAGATGTGTGGCCCCCTCCAAAGGGCCAGTGCATGAGAGGGCGGCAGAAGGCAGGCCTCTCCGGCCCAGTGTGAGTCTCCTTTATTGCTGTAGAAATCTCAGCCTTCCATTTCCTCATGGTGTGGAGGCCAGGCAAGTTGGTTTTCATGGGAGGATTGAGGAGCAGTTGTTCTTCAATTTAATTTTTTAAATTTTTTAAGATCTGAAAATAAATACTTCCACAATGCTATGAATTATTATTTTTCTTGTTCAAAAATCACTGCTGAGAAAAGTCACTTTCACAAGTGATAACTTGCTGTATTCTCTAGAGGCAGTCCCGAGTTCCACTCTGAAGGATCCAAGGCTGAAGTTCAACTACTGTCAGACACTGTGCACCAGCTGAAGTTAAGGCTAGTGACCCTTTCTGGAGGGAGTGATGACGAGGGGTGCCTGAGAGCAGCTTCAGCAAAATGCTTAGGAACATGAACAAAACAAGGACACAGTTGAGGCTGCCTCTATCCGAGGCTGTGCTTTTCCTAACAAGGCTGCTAGAATTCACATCAGATTTAAAAAAGTCAAATTATTCAATTAAAGTCTCTGGGCTCCAGGTGAACAATCAACTTTTAATTGCTACTTCATAGCAGAGAGATCCAAGCTGCCCACACCCCGTCAGGGGTAGGGGAACTGCTGGGCCGAGGAAGCCTGATGGAGCTGCTGCTTTCCACCCTACACCACCCCAAGGAAGGGGAGATGGGCTGACAAACCTCCCTCCCTGGACTGGGCTGGCCGATTCCCAGAGGAAGGAAGACAGGGACACGCGCAGTAAGTTTACTAACAGGACCGTAGAGGGATGCTGGCTGGCCACTGGTGATCCAAGTTCTTTTTCCCTGTGGGAAAAGGGGGCTGATGGCAGGGAGAACATAAAGACAGACCTCTAAAGCTCCTAGCTGGGAGGTTTGCTGCTGGGTTCTTTGGCAGTAGTGGGTTTAGGCCAACAGAAGCAACAGAGAGATGTGTGTGTGGAATCTCCTTAGGCCGCCTGTCCAGAGCTGTAGTTTAGCTGATGCTGAGCTGGGCAAATCCTATTAGTTTACCGTCATCAGGAATATCTGAGCCTTCGACACCAGATGCCTAAGAACCAAACAGAATGCGAAGCTGTGGCTATTTATAAACAAAACTGCAGGCAGTAATTAAAACTAATACGGGGTCAGTGGGAGACAGCTCCTTGGAATACAAATGGGGAGCACATGAAGGCGTTTCTTCCAAGATGGGGGCTGGGTACAAAGCTGGAGTCCAACTAACTTTCACAAGTGATAACTTGCTGTATTCTCTAGAGGCAGTCCCGAGTTCCACTCTGAAGGATCCAAGGCTGAAGTTCAACTACTGTCAGACACTGTGCACCAGCTGAAGTTAAGGCTAGTGACCCTTTCTGGAGGGAGTGATGACGAGGGGTGCCTGAGAGCAGCTTCAGCAAAATGCTTAGGAACATGAACAAAACAAGGACACAGTTGAGGCTGCCTCTATCCGAGGCTGTGCTTTTCCTAACAAGGCTGCTAGAATTCACATCAGATTTAAAAAAGTCAAATTATTCAATTAAAGTCTCTGGGCTCCAGGTGAACAATCAACTTTTAATTGCTACTTCATAGCAGAGAGATCCAAGCTGCCCACACCCCGTCAGGGGTAGGGGAACTGCTGGGCCGAGGAAGCCTGATGGAGCTGCTGCTTTCCACCCTACACCACCCCAAGGAAGGGGAGATGGGCTGACAAACCTCCCTCCCTGGACTGGGCTGGCCGATTCCCAGAGGAAGGAAGACAGGGACACGCGCAGTAAGTTTACTAACAGGACCGTAGAGGGATGCTGGCTGGCCACTGGTGATCCAAGTTCTTTTTCCCTGTGGGAAAAGGGGGCTGATGGCAGGGAGAACATAAAGACAGACCTCTAAAGCTCCTAGCTGGGAGGTTTGCTGCTGGGTTCTTTGGCAGTAGTGGGTTTAGGCCAACAGAAGCAACAGAGAGATGTGTGTGTGGAATCTCCTTAGGCCGCCTGTCCAGAGCTGTAGTTTAGCTGATGCTGAGCTGGGCAAATCCTATTAGTTTACCGTCATCAGGAATATCTGAGCCTTCGACACCAGATGCCTAAGAACCAAACAGAATGCGAAGCTGTGGCTATTTATAAACAAAACTGCAGGCAGTAATTAAAACTAATACGGGGTCAGTGGGAGACAGCTCCTTGGAATACAAATGGGGAGCACATGAAGGCGTTTCTTCCAAGATGGGGGCTGGGTACAAAGCTGGAGTCCAACTGGCTAACAATCTCTCTGGACAAAGGCAAGGGTCTGGAGTTGGAGGCTTCCTGGGCCAGGAGAGGAGGGGAGGCCACTCAAAGGGAGATAGGAGTACAGGGCCTTGGGGAGGCTCAATGAACACAATGTACCCTATTTTTTAAAATATTCTCATCACTCAGGGTATATGGAAGCTGGTGTGTAAGAGAGAAGGCTTAATAAGGAGAAGGACTGAATACCAGTTTGAAAGTGACGGATCGATTTGACTGAGGTTCTTCCACAATTTTCTGCAAATTAGCTGCCACTGTAATCATAGAAACAGAGAGAATGAGAAGCTAAGTAAATCCACTTTCATTTTTTAAAAAGTTAAATGGTGGTTTAGAATCTTCTGTGTACAATGAAAATGGAAGCAGAAAGATGAATCATTACCCAAAGGAAACTACCTTTTAAACTCAACTCCAAGTAGCACGAACAAGTCTTGAGTGATTGTCAAATTAAGAAAGACTCTCGGGTGAAAGGCATATGATTTGCCTACTCATGGGACAGAAAACCTCAGATGGGCGTCATACACTGTGGCCTGCAGCCATTTTCTATTCTGCTTGTGAGCTTACAATGGTTTAAAAATGACAGAGATGGTGCACGGCCCACAAAGCCTGCACTGCATATCACTGGGCCACTTACGGAAACCTCTGCTGGGCACCCTGGACAGTGGTCTCCTTGTCTAGTAACACACAGCTGTGGCCTGTCTGCACTCCCCTGCCTCCTGCTTTCCTAGGACTAAATCTCTAATAAGCTTTGCTTACCTCTCAGACCCACAAGGGTAGAGTGCATCTTGCAAACCAGATTATATATGGCCAAGCATATGTTAACTTGTGACTTCTGTCACTATTTCTACTACAGTCTCACAGAGACCTGGGGGTGCTTTCAGTTACAGTCATCAGAGCTCCCAAAGCAAACTCAGAGGTAAGATTTTCTTTTCTGTAAGATACTGTCTCCAGTACCTGTTATTTCAGCAAAACCAAGAAAACTTGCTCCATGGAATCAAAGCCCGGAGTTCTAGGTCCTAAGTACAGAAACAAACATGGACACACAAGGGCAGAGTACAAAGTAATTACCTATTACTAAATCCCTTCCATCGACCAGGCCGGCAGAAATGAGTTCCTGAGAGACACCTTCTGCTGTATCTGCAAGGACAGAGAAGCAGGAGCCCCATTGCTTGTGCATGCGTGTCACCATCAACGCTCAGCAGGAGCCACCCTAGCTACTAGAGCCACAGAACCAGGCAGGCAGGGTCCTCCTCTCACAGAGGAATTCCTACTACCAGGTTATCAAGTGAGGGGTTCACATAGGTCTTCTAGAGGGCAGAGTCTCTACCAACCAGATGGCAGATACCAGTTCACTTTCTACACGATGGCGTGAGCTGGCTGGGCTCAGGCCCTTGTCAGGAGAGCACACGTGCCTTCTTAGGGCGACCCTGTCAGCTCTGAGACATGACGGTGAGCATGTAACATCTCCAGGGCTAATAAAACAGAATGATTTATTCTCAATTAAATCTTGAAAAAACAAACTGAACTCTTCTCTTTGGGAATTACATTCTCGAGTTTTTTTGCTGAAATCATTTTATTTGTCTGATGGCTTTCCTTCATGTCCTGTTATTCCAGGTGATACAATCTGAGCAACAAGTATAACTAGAAACCAAAAAGACGAGGACAGAGTGTCCCCAATTAACCTCACTTCCAACAGACTCAGTAGCACTGCTTCCCATGGGCTGAAACTTGCGCCCCTCAGAGGGAATGGGGAGGCCCTGGGGAGAGGTTGTCCATGACCAACTGTCTGAATTAATTTCTTAACATGGGACTCTGCCTAGTTTTAAGAAGTGAAATGGCTCTGCCTCTGCATCTGCATTTGGCGTCTTTCACAGTTAGCTGCTGCTGACACTGAGGCAGCACAAGAGCTAGCAAGGTTTCCCAAGGACAGCTGTCTGCAGCCTACTGGCCATTCGCAGATCTGAGCCCCCCGTAATGAAAGCAAGAAAGAAAAAAGGCCTTGTCCCAGGGAGAAACTCACAGCCAGAAACTTGCCTGATAGGGCTTGGCTTCAGCCTGGAGAGAGGAGACTGGAAGCCTCATTTCCTCTTTATCTTCAAGAGGACAGCCATGTTCAGTGGTAAGAACAAGAGCTTTGCACTCTTTTGAGAGATCCAAGTTTGAACTCCAGCGACACCTCTTCCCAGCTACATCTCCTCCCAGCTGTGTGAACTGCAATGGGTTACCTCACCTCTCTCTAAGCCTTGACTTACCATCTGTACAATGGGAATAGCAGTCTTTCCCAAGGGGGCTTTTTGAGAATTTAATGAGATAATGCTTACCACAATGCCTGACCTACAGTAAGCAGTCATTCCCACTCTATTCATGATTGTGTGTATTATACTGTTTGTTAAATGAGGCTACTAGTAAATAAACCATGTTTCTATTTTAGTCATATGCCCCCAAAGCCTTTTACACCAGGAACATTTTAACATCCTTTAAAAGCAAAATATATCTAAAGGGCAAAAGCTTCACTACACATCTCCTTAAATAAGAAAAATTATTGTTTTCGGTGTTTTTGATGCCTCACCTCTCCCAGGAGTAAATTCGAATCGAATATCATTTAGCTCTTTTTTTGAATTCCTATGAAAGAAAACAGAATGTGTAAATAAACTTGTGAATTTATGCATATACTCTGTTAACATGTATCCGGAAAGCTGAGCCTCAGGAAAGATTGTTCTGTCCCCCAAGACCATGTGATTCATCCTAATGAGTTCATACCACAGGGCTCAGAGGGACCACCTAACTGTCCTACATGACAACCCCCTGTACTTCAGTCCCCCTTTGACTGGTGTTAAAATCTCATGCATCTAAGGCAGTTCTCATCCTCATGCCCACTAAGACTGTATGAAACCAAGAGGAAAATCCGCATGTGCACAGGGAGGTGTGAGGAAAACGACACAGGACACCCTGTTCATCCTGAGACGCACTCCCATCCTTGGGCTCCAGCGCCTGCACTGCTCTGCCCACCACTGATCCATCTCAGCAGACTATGAGTAAAACACATGGTGCCCCAAATTCCACAGGCATTCAGAGGAGGAGGATAAAGCATACAAGGTTTGGAATAATGAGGAAGAACTTTAGAAGTACTTTTTAGATAGGACCTAATGGACAGTAGGATCTGGGCAGGCAGAGAAGACAGGGCAAGGAATTGGGCCCTCAGGGGCAGCAGAGTCGATACATGACTCCAGAGATGCCAACATGACTAGTGAGGCACAGGGACAGCCATCACTCACCACACCAGGCCCTGAGATCAACCAGGCTCCCTGGTGGTTCTGGTTAAAAGTGGAGAAATCAGAACATAATGTTTACAGGCAGACATGCCTGATCACTTAGGACCCAAGTCCATTTTACCTAAACAATGCAGAGGACTTTATTTCAGTCTGTTGGACAAATACTTGAGGATACTACTAAAATAGAGCTACCACCTCCAACACAACCTGCCCCAAGTCACTTTTCCCCTTGCACTGCCTTCTCTCTGCATGTGTACACAGCCTATAGTTTCACATGTACACTGCCCGAAGTTCACTTTGAGCTACAGAGGTACATAACACAAATCAACTGCCCACCTGGACCTGATCATCACGTGAGGCATTTCATTTTCTCTCTTCATGGTGTCCTTCCACAACAGCCTATAGTCTGCTTACTACACAACTGTTCAATCTTTCCTCCTGAAAGCTGGATAGAATTAAGATCCAATGTTCAGCATCACTTTAGTGACCTGCTATTCCAAGCACAAGCACCTTCAGAGACAACAGTGTGCTCAACTGAACTAAATGCACTTGTCACCCCTCCTAGTCATTTAACCTCACGGTCTTCATCAGTGAGAATAGGAATCTAGCTTCCTCTTCCATAAACAAGTCTGGAACACAGTCTATTAAGAAACCACCCCCTCAAAAAGCATCACTTACAACATCTCCCCCACCTTTCTGAAGCACACATCAAATAGAATTTTTGCACTGCCTTTTAGCTTCTGTAAGATTTCAAAACACTGTTTTTTAAAGACAAGTGGTATTCTTTCTGTACAATTAAAACAGGGTGAGATTTCCAAGGCATCCTACTAATTCAGAACAAGTACTAAGGATGAGACCAGGTAACTGAGTAGGCTTCTGCAAAGAAAAGGTGACCAAAGCTGCTTTCCTCACACTGATGGCTTAATTTCATTGCTCCTTGCATCAAAACCAAAGCATTCTCAGAACAGCTCTTTCTGCGTTTACCTCTATGATCATAATGAGAAGATGACTAGGAATCCCATGTGGAAGGAGGAAAGAGTTAATGACATTCAGCAGAAAAATGTTAGTAATAGTTACAGAAGGTCTGAGCTGTCTCAGACCATGCTTTTAGAACTACTTTTCTTTCCAATATGTTCATGAATAGAAAAAGTCAGGCTGTACAAAAGCCATAGGAATTCTGATAAGAAAGCTCTGGAACCCCAATGCAAGTCCTTGCAAAAGGAGAGGGTGAAAATGAATTGGTGAACAGACTTGCCCATGGCATGTCCTGTGAGAAATCTGTCAGGGCCTCTCTATGTTCCCTGCCAAGAGCCATCAATTTAGAACACTTGCTGTGGAATAGAGAAATAGACCAAACATATGTTTAGATGTTTTTCCTTTCATGTTTTAAGATGAAGGCCTTTCTATCAACTATCACAATCAGAATGTGCTCCACTTCTGGGTTAGTGATCTTCAAGTCTATGATATTTATCTGATTTCAATCATAAGACTAATCTTCAGATAAGCTGACTAGTGCTGCTCCCCAAAAAGCTGTTTCTCAATCACAGACCATACTCCGAACCTAAACTAGCTCTATTTAAAGTACACAATCAGTGGACAGGCACAAACTAGAAAAAGGGATGACTTGCAAAGAGGAAATAGCACATTCAGAGTATTCATAAAACAAAAGGTCTACTTACCTTAATCTTAGTACAAGACTGATTGGGACCCTGGTTTCCTGTGAGCCTGCTTCTGGAAACAGAGCCTAAAAAGCACAGAGGGGTAAAATCATTGCTGCACCATTAAGCGTGGGGCTGATTAACAGTAATCTGCGTGGCAGCAATTTTCTTCATCCCCACGTGAGCCAGCCAAGCCCCTATGACATGCCCCATGTGGAGGACACACACGCCAAGGCAGAAGCAAGAGCACAATGTCAACCTGAGCCAACAGTTAGAAAGCCAATCCTCAAACCCACAGGGAACTCCACACATGGCCACACTTCAGCTTTGAGCTTTTCAGAACCCCATTCCCCTCCACAAGAACACAAAGCTGGGCTCTTCCCTTTAAAACATCTGCCAGGTTATCTATCATGTGGCAGCACACGAGGGAGAGTCTAAACTGGCTGCCCCTTAGGAATCCACCCAAGCTGGAAGCTCCAGATCTTTTATAATGGCTAAACTAATTCTCTCTGAACTCTGCATCTGCCCTTTGCTTACTGGAGGACATACATTGGAAGAAGTTTGTTATAGTGAATCCAATCGTTGCATCAGTTTTCCTAAGACAACTGTATCTTTCCCCATAGGGTGAGCAGAAATAAAGCCTGGGGGGTGAAAGGTTTAATGAAACGAGCACCCTGACTGACAAGAAGCTCTCAGCACTGTGGTCTCCAAAGGCAGACATCACTGGAGTGCAAAAGAAACTGGAACTTTCATATTAATCTCTTTTCACCTAAAATGTTAGGGGAAAAACAAAACCTCTAATATTCAATAAAAGGACAGACTCAAGCCCTCACTGCAGCCATGGGGCAGAAGGCCACATGTGGCATATAGTACCTGAGGGTGCTGGAGGGCGGAATGGGAGTCGTGGCAGGCTCGCAGTGGGGCCCTGCCCACGCCAATGCTTTCCAGGTACTACCACTTAATGATGTTGTGAGCTGATTACGTACATCTATAGGTCACATTACCTGATCTCTCAAAATTGACAAATACCTTAAAAAGAGTAATACAGGAAAATCATGGATTGGAGACAGTATTATACTGCACACATAAGTGAACAAATAGGAAACAGAACTGCTGACAACTTCAGTGTTCGATGAGCTCTAGCTGCCACATTCCGAAGTGAACTACAGTAACGATCTAATAAAAACCTGGGAAGAAATTACCCCACCCTCCACTTATTAGCTTATTTTGTTGCTTAAAAACCTGTGTGAAAAATAAATTTCTAACTTGTTTGACAATCTTCCAAGACATGGCCCCGTCATATTAGGTCATGGGCCTGTCACATTAGGTGGCATTCCACTTGCTTCTGCTTCCTTCATCTGCCATGCAGGCCAGCCACCAGGGTGCACCTGCTTTACCTGAGCTGTCTTTGCTGGCTCTGCGGGGGCTGGGGCAGAGCCTTGGGTCGGCTGTGCAGGCACCTGCCCAGCAGGCTGAGGTAGATGAGCAGAAATCTGTTCTGGAACTTGGAGAAAAGGACCCACGGGATCAGTTGTTGGAAACAGCTGTGACAGAAACACACACACACACAGTGTTGTTTAAATTGAGTGGCAAGGGAGGCAGGTCTACTGACAGGCAAGCAGAGCCTTGAAGGCTGATATTTTTCAAAGTAGTTGCTGGGTAGTATCCTGGTATATCTCTTTATCTCTGAAAATATCTATTTCAAATGAAGTCAAATATTTCTAGGCTTTTTCATTTTTAACAACTTTTTTGAGGTGTTATTTATATCCCACTAAAGTCACCCACTGTAAATATACTATTAGATGATTTTTAGAGAATTTATATTTCTGCAAACATTACTAGAATTCAGCTTCAGAACACTTCCATTGACTCAGAAAGTTGTCCTGTGCCCACCCACATATAATTCCTGCTCCCACACCAAGCCCTAGGCAACCACTGATCTATTTTCTGTCTCTGTCAACTTGCTCTTTCTGGACATTTTCACATGAACAAAAGGGTATGATATTGCCCACTTTAGTGTTTGGCTTAACACAGTTTTCTGAGGTACAGCCAGGCTGTAGTGTCTACCAGCATTCTCTTTTTCCCTTCTTCAGAATAGCAGGTTATTATATCTTATTTCACTACATCTATTCTATCCCCTTTGCCCAGCAAAACAGCACCTCAAAAATATAGATTTAAGTATGTGATACAGAATTACAGAAGCTGTATTTTTCTACATCTGAGACCTTCCATTAGCAACCAGCGGTTCATTAGCATATCTGAAATGTTTTTCAAAATGGATGTGAAGCTTTATAACTAAAGTAGACACTATATACATTTTTTGCATGTTGGAAATATTTCATAAATTTTAATTATGTAACTTGGGGAAAAAAGACTGATACTGAGTTCCAAATAAAGTTAAGCATATTAAAGACTGTAAGATAGTGAAAAAAATGCAATGGTTAAAATTTAGAGTTAAAAGAGAAAAAAATTAAAGGGCAATCAGAGATATCTAATAGCTGATACATAAGCCAATCAAGGAGACAAAGAAGTAAAATTGTGTGTTCACTCAGCTTCATATAGAGGAAATCAAGTTGTTGATCTGTTTCGGATTTTGATAGAGAAAAGGAGAACTTTAAGATTAGTTTTGAAAATGTTAATTATTAACACTATTTCAAAAGGACAGTAAGCTTCAAGTTGCATGTACATATATATGTTCCTATAAAAAGGACAGAAGGGTTACACAAACAGTAATGAGATGATACTGGTATATCTCTTTATCTCTGAAAATATCTATTTCAAATGAAGTCAAATATTTCTAGGCTTTTTCATTTTTAACAACTTTTTTGAGGTGTTATTTATATCCCACTAAAGTCACCCACTGTAAATATACTATTAGATGATTTTTAGAGAATTTATATTTCTGCAAACATTACTAGAATTCAGCTTCAGAACACTTCCATTGACTCAGAAAGTTGTCCTGTGCCCACCCACATATAATTCCTGCTCCCACACCAAGCCCTAGGCAACCACTGATCTATTTTCTGTCTCTGTCAACTTGCTCTTTCTGGACATTTTCACATGAACAAAAGGGTATGATATTGCCCACTTTAGTGTTTGGCTTAACACAGTTTTCTGAGGTACAGCCAGGCTGTAGTGTCTACCAGCATTCTCTTTTTCCCTTCTTCAGAATAGCAGGTTATTATATCTTATTTCACTACATCTATTCTATCCCCTTTGCCCAGCAAAACAGCACCTCAAAAATATAGATTTAAGTATGTGATACAGAATTACAGAAGCTGTATTTTTCTACATCTGAGACCTTCCATTAGCAACCAGCGGTTCATTAGCATATCTGAAATGTTTTTCAAAATGGATGTGAAGCTTTATAACTAAAGTAGACACTATATACATTTTTTGCATGTTGGAAATATTTCATAAATTTTAATTATGTAACTTGGGGAAAAAAGACTGATACTGAGTTCCAAATAAAGTTAAGCATATTAAAGACTGTAAGATAGTGAAAAAAATGCAATGGTTAAAATTTAGAGTTAAAAGAGAAAAAAATTAAAGGGCAATCAGAGATATCTAATAGCTGATACATAAGCCAATCAAGGAGACAAAGAAGTAAAATTGTGTGTTCACTCAGCTTCATATAGAGGAAATCAAGTTGTTGATCTGTTTCGGATTTTGATAGAGAAAAGGAGAACTTTAAGATTAGTTTTGAAAATGTTAATTATTAACACTATTTCAAAAGGACAGTAAGCTTCAAGTTGCATGTACATATATATGTTCCTATAAAAAGGACAGAAGGGTTACACAAACAGTAATGAGATGATGTAGAGAAACTGGAACCTTGTGCATTGCTGGTGGGAATGTAAAATAGCGCAGCCACTATGGAGAACAGGATGGTGGTTCCTCAAAAAATTAAAAATAGAATTACTGTATGATCTAGCAACTTGCCTTCTGAGTCCAGACCTACACTAACTGAAAGCAGGGACTCAAACAGGTATTTGTACACCCATGTTCAGAGCAGCATTATTTACAACAGCCAAAAAGTGGGGGCAACCCAAGTGTCTGTTGACATATGAATGGATAAACAAACTGATAATATATACACAATGAACTATTAGTCAGCCTTAGAAAGGGGAAAAGGAAGGAAATTCTGGTATATGTTATTTAGATTAATCTTGAGGGCACTGTGCCAAGTTAAATCAGCCAGACAGAAAAGTACAAATCCTGTCTGCTCCTGCTTAAATGAGGCTTACAAAGTAGTACAGCTCAGAAACAGAGTGGGAGGGTGGGCGCAGGGGCTGGGGGACAACGGAGAGTTACTGTTTAAAGGGTACAGAGTTTCAGTTTCACAAGATGAAAAAAATTCTGGAATGGTGGTTGCACAACAGTGTAAATGTACTTAATGTCACTGAACTGCACATTTAAAAAAGGCTTAAAATGCTAAGTTTTATGTGTATTTTACAATTCTAAAAATAACAGCAAAGTAATAAGCATGTGAATATGAATATGAACATGTCAGAGTTCATATGGAGATGCTACTTAGGCAAAGGAACAGGAACCTAAAGAGAAAACCTGGATGGTGTGTGAAATATCCTCGTATTCAATTTTGGAGAAACTAAGAATTAGTCAACACAGGCTAAGTTACAAAGTCACAAATTATCTTGAAATCTCAGTAGGTTACATGAGTAAAAGTTATCTTTGGCACACACTTCCTATCTATCTATCTATGACCAGGAGAGGATAAATTCATTGTCACCCTCATTCAGGGAATGCAGGCCACACTGGCAGGGGCAAGGGAACTTGAAGAATCAGAGTGGCTCTTTCTCTGCTCACAGGTCATTGGTCCAAGTACTTGCCATGGCCATGCATAACTCCAAGGGGCAGGGAAATGCAACTCTACCACACATACCAAGAAGAAAAAGCTAGAAATCTTAGGGAGCAGCGTTGGCAGACATAGGCCTGTTAATATGCTAGGGTACAGTATTTATTTCCAGTCTTAAACAATACAATACTATGTACACAAATCCTATACATAATCATGTAAAAATAAAGTAGAAAAAAAAGCTACTTTCAAGCATAGAGGGGAGAACAAACTGGTTTAAGAGCAAGACATGCATACTATTAAACCAAGTACTTATCTTGGAATGCAGATGTGGTCAGATGAAAAATGAATGACAGAATGCACCAATGAAATGATAATGCTCTCCTGGTAATGAGTATAAGGCAGAGCAGCCTAGGGGGATCCTGTTTTATAGTGTTCCCTATCACAATGAAGCAGTTAACTAAAGGCAATAGAATCTATTTGACAAGAGAAGAGGTTGGGGGGGAAAAAACCCAAAAAGGAAAGGTAGCATATGACAAATTCCTGAACAGATCAATGCAAAAGGACCACTTTGTTTCAAGCAGCCCAAGCCAGAAAAGTAATTCGTAAGGTCAAGCAAGCAAGGAGCATACTGGGTCTCTAAGGCCAACTTTTAAAATGGATACAATGGCACCGATTTACTGCAAAGGTCCATTCAAACTCAGATGTGATACTTGTTAAAATTTGACTGGTGCAAGTTCTCTTTTCCATTTAGGCATATATTAAAAAATGTGCTTAACTTTAAAATAGAACCAAAACAAAAGTATATAAACTATACCAATTCAATACTCACAACTACTTACCTCAGAACTTGATAATGATTCTTTCACTCGGGGAGACTAAAAGAAACACAAAGAAAGGAGGTTTGTTTAACCCAAAACACAGGTTACTCACTTGCAGTCAGTTCAAAACTGCACAGGGTTGAAATGCAAATCAACCCCATTTTGCGCTGATCCACACATTAACTCACTGACAACTCTAGTAAAACTTTTCTGAAAAATGAAAACTGTGATGATACTATTGTATCCAGGTAGACTATAATGCATCAATGTACTTATGTTGTTTTAAGATTTCACAACTTGAGGTTTATGAGTCAATGTAATGAGACTGAATCTTAGGCAGTAGGGAAGTCATAGTCTTCTACGTGAGATTCTTTTTACAGATCATGAACATGTGTGCATAATATCCCAGACCAAATGTTAATACCAGACCAAATGTTAACCTTCAAGTTAATTTTCAACACATTCTCAAAGCAATGTAATTCTGACTATGGGCTTTAATGAGAGAACACTTGAGCCAAAACTGAAAAATCAAGAATATATAACTACTGTATCGCAGCAAGTATGGCCAACCCAAAATCTTTTTTTTTACTTTGTAATTGGAAATAATTTCAAAATTACAGAAACATGGTTAGAATAAGAATACGAAGAACACTGTTTTACCCAGACTCACCCATCACTAACCTTTCTTCCACATCTGTTTTATTTAGATGCTCACTTTCTCTCTTTTAAAACATGCATATTTAATCAGTCTCTGTTTCCACACTACTTAAGAATGGGTTGCAAATATTATAGCTCTTTACCACTGAGAAGTCACTGTATATTTAACAATTGGGCTATTCTCTTACCTAACCTCACACTACTAACCTATAGCATCAGTAAATTTAACAATACAATACTTTCATCTAATTTACTGCCTGTATCCAATTTTTCAACAGACTTGCAATGTCCTTGAAAGACTTTTGTTTCCCTCCCAGTACAGGACACACACCACGACTGTGTACTGCAGTTGTCGGGTCTCTTCAGACTTTTTATATCTGGCTCATGAATTTTTTGAAGCATGTAATTCCCCCCACCCCACACACTTTTATTTAAATAGAATGCTCCTAATCTGTGGTTAGTCTGTTGCTCCCTCATGATTTAGACTTAGGTGCATTTCCAGTTGCAATTCTGCATGTGACATGTCCCTCCTGGGGTACTGTATCTCAACGAATCACATATCCGTCTGCCCTCACTAGTGATGTAAACTTTAATAATTTGTCAAGGCAGTTTCTGAGTTCCCCACTATGTAGTAACTATTTTTTCCCTTGCAACTAATAGGCAATCTGTGAGAGACATTTTAAGGCCATCTAAATTTCCCGCTCACCAAAAGTTTCCCTTATATGTAACATTTGTTCTGATCCTTGCCTGATCTTATCTTTAGATGGCTACAAAATGAGATCCCCTCCATCACTCCTCCACATGTATCTATCAGCACTGGTGGTTTACCATAATGAAAAAAACCCCTTTAACCCAGTATTTATGTCTCTATCTATTATTGGTATGGATTCATAGATTCCTGTTTTGTTAATGATTTATAATTTTTACTACACTCTTATTTTCACGGTCAAATTACCCCTAATTTGGCCAGTGGGAGCTGCTTCCACCTGGTTCTTGTGTTATTGTGCCTTTAATTTAAAAAGTTTTTTCTCTCTCAGGAAAGAAGGTACTTCCAATTCTTGTTATTTTTCCTGTGTAAGACCTGGAATAAGCTGTTTCTTCAAGCAGCCCTCATTCTTTTGTAGGGAGTAACAAAGACCAAGAGCTGGTATAAGGTATGCTCACAGTTACTGTTTTCCTGACTCTTTGCATATCAGCTAATCTTTGATTGGACGCCAGTTGTGAATTTTATGTTATTGCATGCTGATAATTTTGTATTTTTATATTTTCTTGAGTTTTGTTCTGGAATATAGTAAAACAACTTGGAGACAATTTAATCCTTCTGGATCCTGCTTTTTATGAGCCATTAGTTAGGTCTGGAACAGTGTTCAGTTCACAGCTACTTATTTCCCACTACTGAGACAAGACTTTCCCACTTTCTGAGAATTCTACCCAATGTCCCATGAATTGTAAGTTTCTCCAGTCTGGCTGGGGGGAACAGGCACTCTTCCTGGCTCTGTGTGAGTGCTGGGCTATTATCCAGTCTCAAATAGTTTTCTCACAAGCATTCACTGAAAAGTATTCTGCTGAATACTCAAAAGAGAAGCTCTGCAGATCTCTAAGCTTTCACTCTGTGTAGCGTCCTACCTGGCACTCTACCTTACCAAGTTTATCTGCTGTGGTCTCCCTAGACTCTTAGCTGTATTTGCTCAACTCAGGAAAACATTCTTCAAGCCATAATGAAGAAAACAAAGAATCAAACAAAACTACCCAGAACCTATATATATAGATGTTAGACTTTTCAGAGGACAGTAAAATAGTTATTATATATTTCTTCATAAGTTAACTAGAGACACGGAATATAAATAAATAAATATGTAAGCAAGCACCAAATCCAATTTCTACAAAGTTACAATGGTCTGAGATAGAATATAGACTTGATGGGATTAGCAACAGGTGAGACTGCAGAAGAAAAGACTAATGAACCTGAAGGCTAGCAACAGAAACTATGCAAAGTAAGTTAAAAAGGAATTTTTTTTTAATGAAGAGAATCAGTGAACTGTCAGACAATTTTAAGCAGCCTAATATACATGTTATTAGACTCTCCAAAGTGGAAAGGGAACAGAAAAAAATATTTGAAAATATGACAGGTAAGGAGTTTCCAAACTTGATAAAAATCTATAAACTCAGAGATCCAAGAAGCTCAATTAACCCCAAGCACAAAAAACATGAAAAAAAAAATACACCTAGGCATAAAATAAAATAGCTCAACACCCTTCATAAGGAAAAAAAAAAACCTTAAAAGCAGCAGAGTAAGACATATATAAATCAACATAAGTGAAGGGCCCCCACCCATAAGATGGCGAACTTCCTGCTTCTCTTCCGGGTCTTCGGTTCCCGCTGGCGCCACATGAAGCCCAATCACCTCTCGCCCCCCTCCCAATCCCAGCACCTAGCCAATAGCCACCAGCCCCATAGAAGTGACACCTCAATCAGCTCCTGCCCCTTCCTATATAACCCAGCACCTTTCCCTAATAAAGTGGAATCCTCCGGTGAATTGCTGCTGTGTGTCGCTCCTTCCTTTCATTGGTGCCGAAACCCAGGAGACAGGACACCCCAACTGGGCCCTGTCTTCCCCTGGACACCAGCAGCAGCTTGCCCTCGTCCTCTTTTTCTGGCGCTGGCTCATCACACTCACCACTCCTCTCTAGCCTTTGGGTAAGTTTTCCCCCAGAGCAGGCCGCTCTTCCCCGAGCTATCGCAGCGCCATTGACCGTGATTGTCCGGCAAGGCCCTGACGCTCGGGGATGAGGAGGGAACTCTCCCCACCTCAGGCCTTCATGGCTGTGGCGGAC